TATAATTTATACATTTAAAATATTTATTTATATAAATTTTAAAATGTAATTTATATTTTTTAATATAATATTTATTTGTATATATTTATTATAAATTTTAGTTATATATAATAAGTATTTAGCATGTTAATCGTAAAAAAATAATACTAATTTTTTAATAAATCAAAATTGATTAATCCCAATATACAAAAAAAAAAAATATATTTTGGATGACTTCTCTTAAAAAACAACTTATCTAAATTACTACCTCAGTTTACTAGCTGGTTCGTATCATGGCATGGAATGGAGCGTCATATGATGATGAATGATGATACCGACTTCATATTATTTTAATTTATTTGTAATTTCTTATTTAATAACGTATACTTCTGTTTATTTCCTAAAACGAAGAATAAAGGTGATACTTTATATTCTTCTTTGGCGAAACACATTGTTATTATAGCTTTAACACACTGTTTGAATTATGTCCGTAGATTAATATTAAAATTGATTTTTTATGCACTTGCGGTGCATTTGGTCGTCATCAATGAAAGCTATAGAAAAACTTACTTTTATAATGCTAAGTCAGCATTCATTGTTAAATTTGCCGATTAGGCGTGTTTTAGCCCGTTATCTGCATTCAATAATTACATATATTTTAAGTAAATAGTTGACTTTATACTTCTTAAAAAGTTTGATTAAAATCATTATATATATACAATAAGTCTTTTTGGAGGAAAAAAAGTCTTTTAGTTTGTACTTTTTTTTTTAATAATATTGTATTGTCTTAAGAATATTCCAAAAAATCTACTAATTATACAATGTTTAATTGGTTAACAATTCAAATTTAGGAATTATTGAATATTTACTGAAAGATTCAATATGAAGGTTAATGACATGAATGCATAAATTGAATTTCATAATGTAACATCGATCATTCCAAAGTTTTAGAATGAAAATACATAAATTATGAAATTTATAAATGATAACTTTGCTATAAATAAAAACCTTTAATGTTAAAAACGAACAAATTAGAATTTTGTATTTAAATAATATTATTTTAAATTTTTTTACTTAAATAGTAACTATGCAAATTTATTTCCCCAACTAGTACTATTTACTGTTCACGTTTAGAACGGACCGTTCTAAAACCAAAACGGACCGTTCCAGATTAAAAAATAACACATGGTTTATGGATCAGAACGGGTCGTTCTAAATTCAAAATTAGCACACAAAAAGTGGAACCAGAACGGGCCGTCCATTTTTTAAACCATTTTTTTCTTTGATTTTCACTTATCAAATACCAAAATTCAGAGACTACCATCAAGTGATTAAATTTATTGAATATTTACATTTTAAATATAACTAAATAAATTTATTAAAATTCATTACAACAATAAAAGTTAATGGTGGTAGAAACTGAATTAATTCATGACCAATATTTGGATATGTTTTCCTAGTGTGACCAGAGGTGTGACAATAAGAACAATTTTTTACACGATTATGTTATTCTCTAATGTCCATCTCTGTTCTAATCCTGCTGGACTTTGGCCGATCCTTGAAAGTTCTCTTGAGTTCTGGATTTGGCCACAAAGTTGAAAGAAACGCAACCATAGTTTTAAAAACCGGATCAGTCATCGAACCAGTTAAGGTACTGGGTCAGTGGGTCAAAGTTTGAACCGGTGGGTCATTAGTTGAACTGCATGACTCGGTTTTTATTTATTTTTATTAAAAAAATATTCATATTAAATATATTTTATACTTATAAATTTTAATAAATTCATATCTATTTTAAATTTCAATTTTTTTATCTTATTTAAAATTATTTTTATTTTTATTTTGTAAAAAAATACATAAAAAATTACATGTTAAACGACATATTAATACAAATTAAAAATATAAATAATATGTACATATATAATATGCTTGCAATTAATATCACAAAATAATATATGTAATATTTACATAGATATTGCATTATTAAATATATAATTTAAAATTAATAATATACTATAAAAGTTATTTAAGTTGTATATATTGCAAACAAATAGATTAGAACAAGTAGTCATTGTTATATTTAATAAGACTCCTTGCTTTTCTATTAAGAGATTCAATTTTCATTATTATTTTTTGTGGTTTATGGCCCCTTAAAAAAAATTTAAAAAAAAAAAGAAAAAAAAATGGTTGAACCGGTTTGACCCACCGGTTCACCGGTTGAACCGGAAAATTGACCGGTTCAATCCGGTTTGAAACGGGTCGACTACATAACTGATCCAACTTAAGATTCGAACCGGCTGGACCACCAGTTCCCGGTCCAACCGGTCCGACCAGCCAGTTCGGTCCAGTTTTTGAATCACTGAACGCAACATCCGAGAGAAGTTTGACCTGCTGGGAGATTTACAGTAAGGCTAAATGAAATGTGGTATGATTGCGACAAGTTCCAGAAAGTTCATATGGCTTGCTCGTATGACCCACTGAGAGATTTATAGTAAGGCTAAATAAAATGTGGTATGATTGCGGCAAGTTCCAAAAAGTTCATATTCCTTGCTCTCATGACCCGCTGTGAGATTTACAGTAAGGCTAAATATAATGTGGTGTGATTGCAGCAAGTTCCAAAAAGTTCATATCCCTTGCTCGCATGATCACACTCCTGGTCACACTAGGAAGACATATCCAAATATTGGTCATGAATTTAGTTTCAGCCACCATTAATCTTTTATTGTTGTATTGAATTTTAATAAAGTTATTTAGTTATATTTATAATGTTAATATTCAATAAATTTAATTATTTGATGTTAGTTTCTGAGTTTTGGTATTTGATAAGTGAAAATTGAACATTTTTTTTTTATTTATAGGCCAGAACGGCCCGTTCTGGATTCAGAACGGTTCATTCTGGTTCCACTTTTTATGTGCTAATTTTGAATTCAGAACGACCCGTTCTAATCCATTCTTCATGTGTTATTTTTTAATCTGGAACGGTCCGTTTTGGTTTCAGAACGGCCCGTTCTGAACGTGAACAATAAATAGTGCTAGTTGGAGAAATAAATTTGCACAGTTACTATTTGGGTAATTTTTTTTAAATAGTATTATTTGAGTAAAAAACTCAATAAATTACACATTTTATATATTTTACACTCGGATGATGATTAAATTTTTTTAATACGTTCTTTTACATTAAAACAATACTTATTGTCATTTAACTGCTATAATTACATAGTTTTTCATTTTTTTCTATTATAAGTGTGTTTTACTCAAGTTTTGGTTCAAATTTTTAGTTTAAATATAGTTTTATTATAGGTGTATTAAAAATTTGATTTAAATATGTTTTTGAATTTTGTGAATATTACTTTTATTCACTTTAATCCCTATAAATTAATATGAGTTTAATTTTTATATATTATAGGCACAACTAATTAAAAATTATTTTATGTATGACTTTTAAAATAATTATTACAAAAATAAAAATTCTTAGTATAAACTAATCTACGATTAGGTAATACTATAGTTTTAAAAATCGGACCAGTCATCGAACCGGTTAAGGTACTAGATCAGTGGGTTAAAGGTTGAACCGGTGGATTACTAGTTGAACCGCATGACTCAATTTTTATTAAAAAAGATTTATATTAAATATATTTTATACTTATGAATTTGAATAAATTCATATCTTATTTTAAATTTCAATTTTTCTATCTTATTTAAAATTATTTTTATTTTTATTTTATAAAAATACATAAAAAATTGCATGTTAAATTGTATATTAATACAAATTAAAAATATAAATAATACGTACATATATAATATGCTTGCAATTGATATCACAAAATAATATATATGATATCTATATAGATATTATATTATTAAATATATAATTTAAAATTAATAATATACTATAAAAGTTATTTAAGTTGTATATATTACAAACAAATACATTAGAATAAGTAGTCATTATTATATTTAATAAGACTCTTTGCTTTTCCATTAAGAGATTCAATTTTTATTATTATTTTTGTGGTTTATGGTCCCTTAAAAAAATTTAAAAAAAAGTGTCGGTTGAACCGGAAAATTGACCAGTTCAATCCAATTTAAAACTGATCGACTGCATAACCGATTCAACTTAAGATTCGGACCGGCTAGACCACCAATTCCCAATCCAACTGATCTGACTGGCTGATTCGATCCGGGTTTTAAATCAATACTATAGTGTAGATTTTTTTTAAAAGAACATAAAAGTTATTTCTTATATATTTGATTTTATCATCTAAAACAATATGAAAATTAATCTGTCCAGATATATATGCAGTGATTCTCTGCCGCTTCTCAATTAATTTGCAAAATCTAATCATGTTCTAAAGGATTATACATTAAAGCACACACATTAGTGAAAATTTAGAAACCTTTTTGGGGCACATGCAAAAGGCTATGCTTAACATGGTTGATTACAATTAAGTTTAAAATATCAAAAGCCATCAAAACAAACCCGCATGCAATAAGACCAACTATCAGGGGACAACAATGGCTACCATCGTCGCTTGGAAGAAGTAGGCACGAGACAACTTTTTAATGATTTAATCTAAGGTTAATATTAATTTTCAAATGACTTTTATAGCATTTAATTATATCTGATTGTTCATGCTGGAGAAAGGCTGGAGACACTCTTTACAAAAGAGAATCCAAATTCCTAATCCTACTGACTTGCATATGCTAACAACAAAAAGGGTTCTTCATTTCTTGAAAGGGAACTATTATATTAATTATTACTTAACTTTAAATTATATTTTATCATTTAGGCTATTTATCTAAATTTTAAAGCATATTATTTTTATACTTTAATCAATTTTTAAACTATTTAACGAAGTTTCCTCTTTAATATTTTTCGGTATAAGACATTAAGACTAATCTATATTTCAATATTTGGAATGTTGAGACTTTCTTCGTTTGTCCGAAGTTCTGGAAGACTTGAACCACAGACATCATCAAAAATTCAAAAATCAAAATCCATCAACCATTAAGCGATCCTATTCTGGAATCCCGATTGAAGAAAATACTATCATTGCATGTAATTTTTAAGAATATTTTCTTTATAATTTTGAATAATGAGAATTTTCAAAGAACCAAAAAACGCTAACCACTGGCCTACTGTATAGGTCTTAGGCAACGGAAGCTTCGGACGGGAATCCGAAAAACCAGAAACAGTGCAAGACTTGATGAGTGATTGAGTTCACTGTATGACTCAACCTCTTTTAATAAAAATTTAATTCCTCCATTAGGGAAAATAAAAAAGTTGAAATTGAGAACGTGATGGCCACGGGTGGGGCGTGAAGTTGAGGAACATGTTAAGGTGGAACATGCTTTTCGGACTCTACAATATTCAAACCTCAAAACCAAAGCCCCCAGTTTGTAGCCATCTTTTTGAATTTAGCCTTTATAATTTCTTCCACATCTATGGTCCATATTTGCCCATAGATTTTGACTTTTCAATTTTTTATTCATAAATCTTCCCACAACTGCTTTATAAAGCCTCCAACTTCACCTTCAGCAATTGTGAAACAAAAAGCCTTATTTTTGTTGGGCGATCGGACAGGGGCACCATGTCATCATTGAAGAGCAAGTACCAAGGTTTGTTTTGTTTTATAAATCCATGTAAAGGTCTGGGTGGGTAGGATGTATTAAATAAATAAGAATTGGCACTGATTGCAGATGAGCTAATAGCGAACGCGACGTACATCGGGACACCGGGAAAGGGCATCCTGGCGGCAGACGAGTCAACCGGCACAATCGGTAAGCGTCTGGCGAGCATCAACGTGGAAAACGTGGAAACAAACAGACGCATCCTCCGCGAGCTTCTATTCACGGCCCCCGGTTGCCTCGAGTGCCTCAGCGGCGTCATATTGTTCGAAGAAACTCTCTACCAAAAAACCGCCGCCGGAGAACCCTTCGTCGAGGTGCTCAAGAAAGGAGGGGTTCTCCCGGGGATCAAGGTCGACAAGGGCACGGTGGAGCTCGCGGGGACAAACGCCGAAACCACCACGCAGGGCCTCGACGACCTCGCCCAGCGCTGCAAGAAGTACTACGAGGGCGGCGCCAGGTTCGCCAAGTGGCGCGCGGTCTTAAAAATCGGGCCCAACGAGCCCTCTCCCTTGGCCATCCACGAGAACGCCAATGGGCTGGCCCGTTACGCGGCCATCTGCCAGGAGAACGGCCTGGTCCCCATCGTGGAGCCCGAGATCCTGTCGGACGGCCCACACGACATTGGCAAGTGCGCCGAGGTGACGGAGCGCGTGCTGGCCGCCTGCTACAAGGCGCTCAACGACCACCACGTGCTCCTCGAGGGCACGCTGCTCAAGCCCAACATGGTCACGCCGGGCTCCGACTCCGCCCGCCTGGGCCCCGAGGTCATCGCCGAGCACACGGTGCGGGCGCTGCTGCGGACGGTGCCGCCGGCGGTGCCTGCCATCGTGTTCCTCTCCGGGGGGCAGAGCGAGGAGGAGGCGACGGTGAACCTTGACGCGATGAACAAGCTTAAGGGGAAGAAGCCCTGGTCGCTGACGTTCTCGTACGGGAGGGCGCTGCAGCAGAGCACGCTTAAAGCGTGGGGTGGCAAGGACGAGAACATTCCCCAGGCCCAGGCGGCGCTGCTTGTGAGGTGCAAGGCCAACTCCGAGGCCACGCTTGGCGCTTATAAGGGCGATGCCACTCTTGGAGAAGGGGCTTCTGAGTCTCTTCATGTCAAGGATTACAAGTACTGAGCCTTTCTACAAAAAGAAGAAGGTTAAGGCTCATAATAATGGCTTCACCCACCTCCTACTTTACTTCTTTCTACTAAAACAACCCATTTTTTTTGTTTACACTCTCTTCTTTCTTTTTGTAATAAAACATACACTACAGAATTGTACTTTCTTCGACACCCCTTCCCCTTCTCTGTGTTTATTGCAGAAAAGATTATATAGTTAATCGAAAGAATTATTACAACTAATTGCATTTTTAATGTTAAATATAGTTTTAATATAATAAATAAGAACGAATTTATATTATAAATATAAAAATTTAATCAAGACCCGATCACTTCCATATTTATTAGCAACTTGAAGCTTGCGCATTTTTAATTCCTTATATGATAAGAAAAAAATAAGTTAGAAATATACATAATATTTACATGAAGGAAATCATGATTTCAATAAATTAAAATAAATAACTTACATAAAAAGGCTTGGTTTGCTATTGATCAAAGATGAAGAAGAAACATCCTTGCGCTTTAGATTTTGAGCATTTAATTTAGAACCATAGCTAAAATAATGGGAGAAAAGCATGTAAACTTTTTCCTTGACTTTCTCCAATTTTATTTCCCAAGTAAGCGAATCAATTCTTTCATAGCAATAACCCAATGTTTCTAACTTCATCCTTGGGTCTAAAATTGCATCAAATGCAAGCACAACACTATACTCATCCCAATACTTTTCAAATTTCTCTATCATCAATCCAGCCATATCTCTTACAACTTTATCTTCATCTGTTACACTTCCCATTAAAAGGCATTGGATTTTCCAAACTTGTAAAAAATACAAGTTGGAAGTAGGATAACTTGTGCCAGAAATTAATGTTGTAATTTCATAAAATGGTTGCAAGAATTTACAAATCTTTGTTGCTCTTTCCCATTCTTCATCTGAAGGAAAATATTTGTAATTTTCATCAACCAAATGTAGACTTCCAAAAACACGTTGATATTTAAGAGCACTTTGAAGCATCAAAAAAGTTGAATTCCATCTTGTAGGTACATCTAGACACAACACACTTGATGAATTAATGTCACTAAATTTTTTAAGACATTGTTTGAATTTGATCATTCTACTCTCTGAACCCCTTACATATTTGATGCTAGTTCTAATTTAATCCAAAGTTCCATCAAGTACCTTTAATCCTTCTTGAACAATCAAATTTAAAATTCATCATCACATATCAACCCTTTTTGCAAAACAAGTTATTTTTCTAACGTCTGTTGTAGAACATCATTAGCAGAAGCATTATCCAAAGTGATAGAGAATTTTTTTTCTCTATTCCCCAATCTTGTAAGAAGTCCCCAATCTTTTTAGATAACTCAAAACCAGTGTGAGGGGGAGGCATATGATGAAAGTTAAGAATCTTGTTATTTAACTTCCAATTTAGATCAACATAATGAGCCGTTAAACTAATGAAACCCTCAGTATTACAAGATGTCCATAAATCAGAAGTTAAACAAATCTTATTAAGAATGGTAGCCAACTCACTTTTAAGCCTTGCTTTGTCTCTAATAAAAATTCTGCACATATCAGCCTAGGAAGTATTTCTAGAAAATGTATTTGCATCAGGATTCAAATACGCTATCAAAGCCTTAAACTCAGGACTCTCAATAAAATTGAAGGGCAAACCACGTCTTATCATTAGATGACAATACAACTCATGAAAAACCATTTGATCTATCTTTCTTGATTTTAAATTTCCTTGCATGTCTAAGATCATTTGACTCATATCTTCATATTTTCTTTTCTCACATTTGGAAATATGACGATTTAAATGAGAAGTCCCATATTTGCCACCAACTACATAAGTTTTGCCACAACCATTACACTTTGCCCTTTCTTTTCCATCATCACCCTTTCCCATCCTAGTAAAAAAATTTCCAACAATTTGATGTTATGGACTTGACCCTTTTGTTATCATGTTGACATTAGTGGATTCAAAATCTTTTTCAATATCCTCTACCTCAATTTCATTATCACAAACAGTCATAGGTTTACTAATTGACTCGTCCATTTCAATTTCCAAATCTAAATATCCCTGCTAAAGTTATTCAACACACACTACTAAGTACTAATCAAATAATCAATACAACTAAACTGCAAAAGAAGGAAAACCTAAAATATGCATGAAAATGAATTTTACCCGTTTTGTATCACTAGCCTTGCCAACGAAGGAGTAAGTTCAGGCCTTAATGCAACTTGGCGATTGTCCTGATCTTCAAAACAATAAAGCTGCAAATTGAAATGTACATATTTTAATATTTCATCAAAATTCCTAGATGTACTTGCATTATCTGCTCCTTTAATAATTTTTTTTTGTTAAAAAAATATTTAATTCCAACGTTGATTTTTTAAGCACATCAGAAGCATGTTGTTTGTGTGACACAAGCTACTGTGTGTTGTCTAACTACAGACAATGCATCAAGATTATTGCTAACTCACAAACTCAATCATAAAACCATGTTTGGGTCTCACAATACCAAATTACGGTTGATCTACTAGGAAAATTAAATCAATAGTCCACACGTAATACACATAATAATAAAGAAGCCCCAACTGCAGAAACAATGAAACACCAAGGGGCACAGCCTGATTGTATTTTTTTACGTTCTCCTGGTTCCTGTATTTTCTCCCCGTAGGTATTTAATTAATGTGAACCATTGTATACAACCATCATGTAACTGCTGGTCCTATTATTATTGTTGATACTTTAAATATTCTTCAGATGATTCAAATATCAACAGTATATTTTGGTGGTTTGCTTATCAAGTTTATACTAGTTGTTAGAAAATTCTCTTCTACAGTTAGAATTTGAAATGGTGATAGTTGGTATTGCATACGACTTATTCTACGGGGGAACCAATTTCTAATCTGTGGCTAATGACTTCTTGGATTTTTGGTGTAACAGCCCAAGCAACCCGCATGAGGATATTGTCCGCTTTGGCCCACGGCCGCACGGTTTTGCTCTTGGCGATGACACGCATGCCACCCCAAAAGGCCTCCTCACAAGGAAGGTATCCACACCCATATATATGGCATGCTTCGTTCGCCTTCCTAACCGATGTGGGACTATATCCACCCCCCCTCAAGGGAGTCCAGCGCCCTCGCTGGCACACCGATCCGGGCCCCGGCTCTGATACCAAT